GTAAAGGGATATTCGAGGTAACAGGCACTTCCCTGGCTTTTCTTCTTTGTCTACTCACAACTGGGGTCCATTGTTGAGCTGGCATAGAGCAGTTCCTCATCAGATGACCCATTTCTTTGCAATTGAAACACATCGGAGCTGAAGTAGTAGAAGATGAAGGTTGTTGTTGTTTAGAAGCAGTTGACATAGGTGCCGCAGTTGGAGGTGGTAGATGAGGGCAGTTCTTTATTATATGGTCAACTTCCTTGCAATGAGAACAAGTCGGAGGGAGCCAGGGGTAGTCAACCTTTACTGTGCAGATAGTACCATTTTCCCTTTCAACTTCAAGCAGGGTAGGCAGAGCCTTAGAAGTATAAACATCAACTTTTACATGAGCTGAGCTAATACAAGTTAGGTTGACAGTCCAATCATCGGTTTCTATTGGCTCACCTATTTGCCCTGCGATATGGCTGAGGCCTTGTTGATGTATCAGGTTAAAGGGGACACCGTGAAGATGAGCCCACAAAGGGATACAATCAAGAGAAGGTGTTTCTTCTACCAATTCCTCTGACCATTGAGCTACATGGAACATGGTAGTGTCCACATACCATATTCGTTTTTCAAGCACTTTATTTCTAATGAAATCATTCTGGACTCTTACCAGTACAGAGTTGGATCCAAGACCAGTGTGGAATTCAAGATGTCTTCCTTTTCCCCACATATAATTCAACACACTTTGGATAAGGCTGTATTGGGGAGTTCTACCAAAGAACCTACAGATTACAAAATTCTTGTGGAGTTCTGCACCTTTCTGGAAGACAGCTTCAGGGATTTTAACACGTGGAATTCCATTAGAAGAAACAGCCTGCGGAGAGAGCCTCTTTAGAGATTTGTCAACTGATGGTTTGACTCTAGAGGCCCAAGTATCAGAACTGGGGACAGCAGACACAACTTTCAGAGGTTGAGCGGGAGCAACTCGAGGAACAGTAGCATGAGAACCAGAGATAACCACATACTCATGTGGAGGAGTAGAGGCCGGTGAAGAGCCAAGAATCCCCGATACGGAAGGAATGGATTTGGTTGAGGGTTGTGTTGCAGGAGGAGTCAACGAGGTTGGAGGAGAAGAATGAGGCAAAGGGATGGAGTTTTTGGGGGTTTTTGTACTAGGGTTTGACACTGTAGTTGGGATTTGCACTGTAGTTGTTCCAGATCTGGAATTTGTAGAGGGATGAATAGTTAGTAATGGAAGTTTTGCAGGTAGACAATGGAAGGTTGCAAGAAGGTCTGCAACATAATGAGTAGTAGGAAAAGAGATTGTTGAGCCCACAGCTGCAACAGTACTAACGTTAGGAGCTAAGGTAGAAGGAGAAGTAGAAGAGGTTGGAATCAAAACAGATCGAGAAGAGGGAAGAGGAGGATAGATGGAGGCAGAAGAGGGATCTGGAGGGTCAGGTGGAAAAAGAGGAAGGTCAAGACTGTCGGCCAAGACCGGAGGAATCAGGGGGGAACCATGAGCAGGAGAGCGAGGTTCACACCAGACGATTTTATCTTGTCCCACTTTGAAAATCCCAAACCAGTGGATCAAATGTGCTTCCACGGCTAGTTCCTTTTCAATAGAAAAAATAGACCCTAAGTTTTTTTATTTAATTTCTATTCAATATTCTCTTTATATGGAAATAAGATGTTTTCTTCCAGATTTGCTCTTGAGAATTCAAGGTTGACTCCAAATTGCAAATTCCACCAAAAGAAACAGTAGCCACACAGATTTCTAATGGTCAAAGCTGTGAGAACACGTGGGATTACTCATATTTACTTTCCATTCAAAGACAAAACCCTTTTGTTAAATTTTAATTTGATCTTCTTTGTCCTAATAACCAATGGACGATAATTTCTAAGACGACG